TTTTCGTTTTTTTCTAAAATAGCTGATTAGCGTCCTTTCATCGCAATGTAATTCTCTGTATTAAAAAATCTTCCAAAAATAAAATATACTTTTCTAAAACTTTATTTGAATAATATTAGCTGATTTAAAGTATAATTAATTTGATTTTAAACAAATATTATTTACTTTACGCTTAAAATAATACAGAAATGCATTTTTAAAACAAGCAGTAGCTGTACTTTTTAACCGACAGTTGCCATGTTTACGTGATTGACAAGTGATGACAGGTTTATTGTTGTTCTACGGAAACTTTATCTGTTAAAACATAATTTAAGAAAATGATGGGTGAGCGTCTTTTTTTTTATTTATATATATACTTTTTAAGTACTCAGTAATCTTAAAAATGTTGGAAAATATTCTCTGTAATCTAATTTTATAATTGTCGACTTTAAATTTATTATACTCATCGCTCTTATTTTTCGATAATGTTATGTATGATCGCCCATACTTTCAAATTGGGCACGTTTATACACACAAAAAATCATTTTAAAAATCTTGGTGCATAATGATTTGTATTAATCTATTCAATTTTTGATTAGTAAATATAGTTTTCACTTAATAACAATTTCACCTAACACAAAGTAATGCAGAAATTTAAAAGATTTGGAACTTTATAAATTATGACGATTAGAATTTAAAAAAAAAACTGAAAAAAATTCTTGTAAAAATTCATTATTTATCGAAAAAAATTCTTAAGACTATAGTGTACTTAATAAATCTTATTTATAAAAACAAAAGCTTTTCTAATTTTCTTTTTTAATAAATAGCCAGTTTTGTTGCATTTTTTATTTTAAGATTCGGAGCAAATTTTCGGAAAATGAGTAGCAGTTTGAAAAAAAAATTAAATGTTTACATTTTCTAAGGAGTTCTGCTTTTAACTAATAAAACAAATTTTACTATTAAAAATTGAACTTTAATGAAATTAAGTACGTGTGTGGGGGTAGGTAACATATGTAAAAATATTTTTACCAAGATTTTCTATAAAAAAAAAATAATTTAATTCATCTGTGAATAAGTCCTGAAAATTTCATTAAAATCTGTCAATTATTTGATTTTTGCAAGAATTTCCAAATCATTGTGTTTTCACCAGAAAAGGATGCTAAAACACAAAGAGTAAATATTAAACCATTTGTTGGCACGAAAAAAAAAAAAAAAAAAAAAAAATTAACCAAAATTTCGAATCTACTAGAAAAGTTTAAAAAATTTAATGAAAGAATAAAAAATACTTTGGTCTTTCCTCTTAATAATAAGAAACATTTTGGTGATGTTTTTATTAAGTTTGGGGCTTTTTTTTCATCATGTTATGCTGTTTTTTCAGCGATTTAGTGGAGGTAACTAATGAAGAGTGTCTAAAGTTATGTAAAAGATTTTGTTTAAGTTCCTCATAACCAGCGTTGAAATACTCGCCAGTGTCAAATTATTCGCCAATTATAATATTATCAACCTTTAACCAGAACGCGGCACTTTAAATAATTTTCTCTCAACAATCCAAGAAAGATAAGTATTTTAAACTCTCTTTTCGTCTACATATCCCTTCAGTGAGTAATGAACTCTCTTACCTTTGCTTTATATTATTTTGTGTCAGATCATTTAATCTGTTGTATGAACATTTTCTCTTCATGTCATTACGTTAAAACTACTGACTTTAAGATTTCTGATTTATTTTACTGAAACGAGCTACTGACACTACTTCAAGTATGTAAATTTGTGAATAAATTCCTTATCTTGTTTTGTTAAAATTATCCATGTGTTTCCTCGTCCTTATCATCCTTCTTGGCGTGGGTAAATCAACTGTTCATTTTAATCCCTAAGCTCCACGCAAGTACACTGCCACGGGATTCCTAAAAAAGCATTTTAAATAATTTAAATGCCTTCTTTGAAGCTAAATTTTGCTTTTACTTGAAAGGTTACAGAAGAAGGTCTATTAGACCGAAACATCTGACGTTGACATTAAATTAACATTAAAACAGTATAATTGCATATTCGGATTTTTGTTTTTCCATATATTTTTTCTTCACATAAGCTTATATAATCGCCATTTTGGATGAAAAAAATCTGGGTGGAGGAAAAAAGAAAAGGAAAAGGACAAACTAATATAGAGAAGAAACGTGGGGAAAAGAGTAGAAGGGGAAGGAGAGAGAGGAAGGAGAAAATCGTGGGATGAAGAAGCAAAAGAAAGTGAACAGAAAAGTAAGGATGGGGAGGAGGAAAGCAATAATATACAAACATAATGAAGGCCGACAATAGGTATTTTGCTCAGTGAGGGCCTGCCATCACTAGAAAATCGTTTCTTCACCTGTGAAGATGATAAAAACTAATTTTTGTGTGCAAATTCTTAATTGCAGTTCTCTTAAAGTTACCCCCCTCTCCCGCAACGCTCAAAACACTCTGCCAACAGGCCAGCTTCATATAATGAAAATTCAAGATTATAGTACTACTAATACTAATAGTGAAAATAAAACAACTGAAATTAAAATGGAAGAAATAAAATTATTAATGATTCATAAGGATTTATCTATGAAAAATTCCAGATACTACTACTATTACTAGTTTCACATCTCAAGTGACCATCAGACAATTTTACACTACTCCTTGTGTAGACCTATAGTGTTAATGTCTATATTTAAAAACAATATCTCCAGTGTTAAATATTTTTCTCTCATACCAAATTTCATACAATCTCTCTCTCTCTCTCTATTATATATAATTAATATGAATAAAAATTTGTCACTAAGCTGACTGATGTTACCTACAGCATCCCGACTCCACAGTTTTGTAGGGGGACCTCTCCGTCCAATCTTCAGGGGTTATCAGCAATATTTTTCTACTTTTTTCTTTTTGATACACTTATCATTGGTGTGAGATTTTCCAGTATTTTTTTTTTTTGCGTTCGTGTGAGCAATTGTGCGCGTGCATCCACGCGCCCATCTCTGTGGATATGAATTCGCGCGCATGCGCCCATCTGCATGGATGTGCGTACGTGTATGGTGTCGTGATTATTTGTTCTTTTTTAAGAATTTTTTACACTTGCTCTTTAGCTTTCTTTCGACAGTTGCCGTTTGTCTAGACATACCACTGATTTTAATTTAATTTTTCGGTGTTCTATTTTTTTCTTTAGCTAGGGAAGTTGTATTTCGCTTTTTACATAAATAATTGATATTAATGGTTAAATGGTAAATATTTTATAATTATATATAGAGAGTTTATACGTTATTTTAATAGATACAATTTATTTAAGTAAATGCTCTGTTTTGTTTTTTGTTTTTTTTCTTAATAAACACTATTAATACATTTACCGGCCTGAATTCGACGTTTCATGAGCAGGTATGATCGTTCGATAAAAGATCGAAGATTTGTTGTCTAAAAACAGTAATTTGAAATTTCCTAACCAGACGCTTCTCTATAGATGAGTGGTATAGCACGTCAGATAAATTGACAGTTCCGTTTTGTACACCGGTTCGATTCCTGTTGGAGAACGCATATTTTCTAAGAAATTTCTCGAACATTCAGGCCGGTAAATGTAATTAATAATGTTTATTTAAAAAAAAAAATCAAACCATTTACTTAAATAAATTGTAACTATTAAAATAACGTATAGACAAAAATATATTAAATAATTGTCTGACTTAATCCATTTAATAATAATTATATTATATATATATATGCATGCATGCATATACATATATATCTTCACTAGGCAATTATTTCGTTTTTTATTTGGTTTGGTGGTATCTTAAGTATTAATTGTAGGTGGTTAGATTTATAATTAAATTTTTATTTATTATTGCTTGAGTTTATGTACATATGTATGTATGTATTTATACGCTCATGTATACGTACACATCTATACACACGTACGCGCACATATATACATATAAACGTACGTACACAGGTACATGTACACTTATGTCTGTGCTTTGTTATTAATAAACCGATGCTTAAATGATAAAGTTATTTTTTCTATTTTTAAGGTATTAATGATAGTTGATTGGTTAATAGAATTTGTTGTTTGAATAGTGTTCTTACTTAACAGTTTTTATTTTGGAGGACTGAGTGAGTGGAGAAATTGCTCATAGAGTTGGTTTTACCAAGCGCTTTCAGCTAATATTGCTAATGATTATATATCAATTGATAAAGGGATAATTCCAAGGACGATGTTAATCCAAACAGAGCTCAATGCAAGAACAGAACAATATCATAATGAATACAGAATCCTTAAAAATCCATTTGGTTATAATTTATTTCGTGGACTTTTACATCCATCTCTTCAGACCACCATGTTAATAAATGGAGTTCAATTTTGCCAGAAGCAAAGGAAGAAAAGAGAAAAAAAGTAAAAGTACGAAATAAATTATAACGAAATGGATTTTTAAGGATTCTGTATTCATTATTAGTATATATATATATATATATATATATATATATATATATATATGTGTGTGTGTGTGTAATGAGAACAAAAATAATATAAATTCTAACGTTCACAGCATTAATTTAAAAGAGAGCTCAATACCAAGAGTAGAGCAATAATAATTTTCACATACGGACAAAACAACTTACTCACTACAAAGATGCATTCTTGTTTCGATGCGCCTGCATCTCGACTGGTGAGAACCAAAAATGGTTACCGATTGGTTGGATTTTTTTTCGCTTTTTTTACTTTACCCCTGGTTCTTTGAATATAACATGAGAGTATAAAGTTTTCCGAGGTGTCCCATTTCAACTTGATTTTGGATATTTCGTACTTCTGCAGTTACCAGTTTTGCAGAAAATTAATTGTAATTTAGATGGTTAAATCCAATAGACATAGAATATCCACACTTGCCAATAAAACTTGTTTAAAAGATCAATTGTTGTTTAATTATTCTAAATATAGTTAAATTTCCCCGCCTGTTTGATTTTGGTATCTCCAATTTGAAGCTCCCACATTTGATTGTTCCTCTTGCTGATGGCCATACATTCTAATATGGGAAAAAGATGAAAGACATAATTGAAAAAAATAATAGAAAGAAAAGGAAGCGGAATAAGGGAGACAATATAGGAACAAGAGAAAAGAGGTTAAGAGGAAACGAAAAGTGGGGGGGGGGAATAAAGAGAAGAGTAAGCATGGAAAAAAGAGTAGATGGGCAAGGATAAATAGGAACATAAAAGAGGAGGTGGAAGAAGATAATCGAAGGAAGAGGAGGCGAAAGAAAGAGGACAGAATAGTAAGAGAAGGAGGAAGACAAAAGAAAGAGTATTATCAGAGAAGGAGTCATTTGATCAGATATTGGGGTGAATGGCGGACACATAAATTTTCCAGTACCCTCTCGTATAGTGAAAGAGAGATAAAGAGAGCAAAGAGATACTGGAAAAAGGGTCGGTTTCCTGTACTACTCCAGTAAGTACCTGACTCCTCTTACTATCCTTTACTTTTCCAGATCATGGATTACTGCTTCCATACATTGCCAAGTTTTCACTTTCCAGTCTTGAGTCTGTTCAAATGCGCCTCCGCGTCCTTGTGGGTGATGAATTATTTTCCACCCTAAAATCATTTTCCCACGGACGAAAGGTCGCAAGCCTATTGCTACTCTATCGCTATTTTCACAGAAAGTGCTCAAATTAGCTACATTCCTTAGTTCTACATGTTCTAACCTCAACGGCTAAGACCCGCCATGCCACACCCATTGTAGCTAACCACCCTCATTCCTTTTGCAGTTCATTGATGAGTTGTAAGCTCCTCTCGAACAGCTTCTTTCCATAAACTGCTATTTTGAGAAACCTATTCCTAAGAGGATGCTGTTATAGACAAGCGTATGGTTGCAAGAAAGAAATACGACAACAGTAGAAATAGATTTACGTGGTTTATTTCAACAGGAACGTAAGGGTTTAGGACAGCTACCTTCGTGTGGTAAAGTTCATAAGCCGGCTTTCGGATCTAGGTCGATCTCTCATAGTAGTTCACACATGTTGACGGTGGTTGACGCTCTCCTGCTGACAGCTGATAAACGTGACCGGTCTCCTTTGTGGCCACCTGTTGACTGCCGCTGAACTTCCCTATGACCCCTTTTATAGCGTTTTTTTATGGCTTAACAGGCTCGAGAAACGAAGCGAGTATAATTAGGAGGGAAGCATTTTTATTGGACGAAAAATAGAGCACTTTAAATATTATTTTATTTTTCGACCGGAACACGTGTGTCGGAAACATTTGTGAAGAAAGATAATGGTCATTTTGTGATGGGGCTTTGTCTCGTTCACATCCGGTTCTCGCTCCTGAGTATTTGCCTGTAAATCAGCCGAGATATGTCATTTTATTTTATAACAATGCTTTCTCGATGACTACAATCTTAACTTGTTTAAGTCTAGGGATAACCGTTATCATAACCTCATAAACTGTACCTCTTACTCTGTAACCTTCTACCTTGAGCGGCTCTTGGGCCTTATACATGTTGAACATTATTGTAAAAAAAAAAAAAAAAAAAGAATGGAGAAGAGATGCAGAGAAGGAAAAGAAGAGAGAAATACAATGAAGAGGTAAGAAGAGGAGAGATGGACATGAAGAAAATAATGAAGTAGAAAGAGAAATGATAGAGAGAAAAGGGGAATAGTAATTTTATAGGCAAGCTGGCTTTTCCCCATTTGAAAAATTAACGTAACATAATCTTTTTTCGCTACATTTGTCCTTATTTTTTTGTACACGGCTATGTACTATGAAGAAAGAAAAAAAAAGTAAAAAAATAAGAGAGACGAATTAACAAAATTGGAGGGAGGAGGCACAAGAAAGAGACTTCAACACGCATAGTCACCCGTCTCCTTTCTTTCTTACTATAATAAAACCCACTACGAACCTTTTCCAACCAACTCCCACTTTTCTTTTTATTTGGCTCCACCCTCTTTCATACCCAGGCACTCGTTAAATTCATCTTCACTCTTCCATCACATACACGAGGCTAAATTTTTACCCCGGTCGCTTTAAAGAAAAAAACTAAAAAAAAAACAAAAAAAAAAAAAACAGTACCGACGTCACACACAAATCATTCGTAATCCGAACGAATGTCTTTTAAAATTACTTCCAGATATTTTCTTTAATTTCCAAAAGTTTAAAAGTTAGAAGAAAGATACAGATGTGGTTTTAATTTTGCCATTTCTTGCTGGATTTGTTTTTCTTGGCGTTTGTCTAATGTTGTTCTTTGTAGCATTTTTAAACAATTTTATTTTATTGGCGATAAAATGATCCCCAAGAAGACAGTCGAAGAATAAAAATATTTGTAGTAAAAAAAAAAAAAAAAAAATACTGGTTTGGTGCCAAAACGGAATTATTGTATGACTATTATTTGCTTTTATTTCCTGAACAAATATTTCTTGTGGAATTTTAAAACGGAAAAGAGGGAATTACCATTCAAAAAAGAAGAAAAAAGGCAAAAAGACATCAGGTGAGTAAAATAAAATCCTCACTTTTTTTTTACTTATTTGTTTTCTGTTGTTTATGATATTATTTTAGTTTTATTTATTCTCCCGAAAAAATAATAAGCTTAGATTAGTTTGGCACAAGGCCACAAAATCAGAGTACTCTATAAGGGCCCAATTCACTACATTAAGGAAAAGTATAACAGTGAGGTTTAAACAATTATAATTTAGGCGTGGGAAGTGAAATTGACGAGCCAAATGTAAATTCCAAGTCTTCTGCGTTGACTTTCTTTTTGGAAAAGGCATGAATCCATCTCTTCCCTTTTGTCCCAGTTATGAATTGAATAGAACGCAAGAGTTCTATATAGGAGAAGTACTATTTTAAATTTAAAACCGTTGAGAAGACAACGGGAAACTTACATTATTTTCCCCAAGAAGTTAACTAAGAGATAAAGGAAAGGTATCTATGGAGATCCATGATCGCCACCGTCCTGAATGGATATGCCATTAGAAAAAAAAAAAAAAGCCTAGAAAAGAAGCTTCTTACTTAACCATTACTGATATCAAACACTATTGATTCATTAGCTACAGACCTTCATCCTTACATACATACGTAGTGGTTAACTATTGGCAGAGTTAAAAACTAAAGCTTGACCTGAAACGCGAAGGATTTTTCGGCTAGCCTACTTACATATGAAGATAGATAGATAGATAGATAGATAGATAGATAGATATGAGAAGAGAAACGATAGAGATAAATGATAGATGAACAGAGAAATGATAGATTCGAAAAGTGGGAATACATTTGAAAAGAGAAAAAGGAGGATATATATGAAAGGAGAAATAATCGATATAAAGAAAGACTAATACAGAAATGATGGATACGAAAAGAGAAAAGCGAGATGGATACGAAGAGAGAAAAGCGAGATGGACACGAAGAGAGAAAAGTCTGCCTCGTCAGTCATGTATCGAAAGATACATGATCGCCTAAGCGTGTATCACGCATGACATATAACTGACTGATCGGACACTAATGATACATAGTGTGGTCTTCTGCTACTTTAACTAGCTACTCTGTAATAGTCTGTTTTTTTCTTCTTTATAGATACTATAATAATAATATTATTATTGAATATTGAGTGAGAGAGAAACATGCTAACAAAAATTACACTGGGTTACAAATATACGAGACCCAATATGACCCATCAAGACACCCAGTCTAATAAGGGTATATCAGGCACAGGCATCACAGCCACATGAGTTCGATATGGTCACAGATTTTGATAAAAAGTAGCGTATAAGCCTTACACGGTACAGTGGAACAGTGGATAGCGGCACGGATTGAGGAATCGGAGAGCCGAGTTCGAATTTCATGTGCTAAAAACCTTTGGAAAGGTATGAATCCTCTTCTCTCTCCAGCTATCGGTAAATAGCAGAACATACCAGGTTCTATAGCTTTGGATAGCAACTAGTCTACCGCAGAAAGAAATGGCAACCTACTGCGCGAAAAAAAATCTGCCTCGTCAGTCATGTATCGAAAGATATATGATCGTCTAAGCGTGTATCACGCATGGCACATAACTGACTGATATTCACTTACGCACAAATACTCTTGTATGAATCCTCTTCTCCCTCCAGCTATGGGTAAATAGCAGGACACACCGGGTTCTATAGCCTTGGATGGCAACTGATCGCCTAAGCGTCTATCACGCATGGCACATAACTCATTATCATATCGTGGTAAATTAAAATGGGCTACAACAGTAAATATCTCTCTCAGCCGCCTAGATTTTCTTGTCGGCTCTTTTGACTGTAAACAGTTGGTCATAGTGCAGGAATAATGGGGAAGGGCATTATCAAGACAGGGTTTCGAGAAGAGTGTTTTTTTTTTTTAAGTTTGAAGGATAACATAGCCAAGATGACCTGGGAGTCACACCTATTTGGGAATACCCTCAATCGGGTACTGTCTGAGCAGACTGGGTTGCCTAGCCTGAGGGTATTTCGAACTGCAGGGTTTATGCACTGCTTTTATCGAAATCTGTGACCATATTGCACTCATTTGGTTTCCATTTCATTCTGCGGTAGTTGCCATCCAAGGCCATAGAACCGGTCTGTCCTGCTATTTACCCATAGCTGGGGAACAGAGAAGAAGAGGATTCATACCTTTCCCAAGGGTATTAGCACGAAAGTGAATGTAATGAATTCGAGTGGAATTCGAACTCGGCTCTCTGATTCCTCAATCCGAGTCGCTATACATTACCCCCTTCAAAAACTAAAACTATTAGTAACTGTTGGGAAAGGTATGAATCCTCTTCTTCTCCACCCCCAGCTGTGGGTAAATAGCAGGATAGACCGGGTTGAATGGCAAATGGCAACCTACTGCGGGAAAAAATCTGCCTCGTCAATCATGTGTCGAAAGATATATGATCGCCTAAGCGCGTATCATGCATGGCACATACCTGACTGACTGTGGGACAAATCTGCCTCGTCAGTCATGTATCGACTGATACATGATCGCCTAACCGTGTATCATGCATGGCACATAACTGACTGACTAAAAATTTCACGTTTTCCTATTTTAAATATCTGATTTTAATTCTTAATGATTGAGTAAGCTCATGGTGATAATAAAATATTATTTACATTATTCGGAATATTTTCCTAATCATGCCATATTCACAACATTTCGGCCATTGTACGCTACGGCCTTCTTCAGGTGATTGTAATTTCGAACCGAACCCAGTGGATAAAGAAAGACATTGGTTAGATCCAGTGATTATACCCAAAGAGTTGTGAGTCCAATACCAGACTACAGCAGTGGTGAACCAAAAAACTTGGAGAGTCGAGTTAAAAGGAAATAACCGAGACATCCGGAAGAGGCATGGCACGTGGAATTAGAACAAACTATCCCAGTGGGCGTAATAAAGAGTTCAATCGAAATTCCAATCACCTGAGAAGACCGGAGCATACAACGGCCGAAATGTTGTAAATATGCTAATGAAGATGAGGAGAACAGTCCGAATAATGTAAATAATCATAATACCTCATCTCAGATATATAGACAGAATAAAATATTCGTAGAAATTCCCCTATATCATCGTTAAATATTTGAGCGTAACGACTTTAACGAAATATTGCAATAACAATATGAATACTGGTAATTATTTTAAGTGGGTACAAATGAACAGATTTGAAATTAACAACTTTTCCCATTTCACTGAAACAGCCATTAAACACTTCTATCTTCCTTTCTTTCATTCATTCATTCATTTTCTCTCTGAAACCAAGTGGTGTCTTTTCTTCCTGTTTCCACTCGATCAAAACGGAATAGTCCATTATTTATGAGGTACTGGCAGGGCTTAACGGTCGTGCGAACTAACGAATGGAGGGACAAACACAATTATCATGGGATTATTATTTTGTTTGATTTCTGTTATATTTTCTATCAATCTATCTGATCTTGCTCCAAATTTTCTGTAACCCCTTGCGTCCTAGTGGCTTCTCGCCTTGCTTGGGCTGAAACGTTTAAAATACATATATATATATATATATATATATATATATATATACTCATTTCCATTTCCTTCCGGGTCCCAACCAGAGACCCAAGGTCAGAAATGACATCATGACATTTCCCACTGAAATGTTTTGTAAAAAAGAAAATAAAACAACCTAAAATCACAGACGCGCTTTACATAAAGTCGTTCGTAAAGTGTGAGCTGTACTTGTGAGGACAATTTTTTTTTTTGTATTTCTTTAGTCATGGACTACCAGGGACCATTTCAATGAGTCCATCAGAACTTTTTTCTTATTATTATTATTATCACCATCATATCCTCCATCAGACCCTATAAGTTGGCACTGAAAAATGACGAAGACCTTTACCAATATAAAAAAAAAATACTTCACTTGAACACTTCCAACGGCATCAACAAAAGTGGATGCCACATGCAATTAGGAGAGAAAATAATGATACAGTGAAACCCGGATATAAGAGGCTTCTTTTCCGGTCCCGACAACTCTCTTATATCCGGGATACACTGTATAATCCAATCATTAACTTCATATTCTACCTAAAATAGTATGGAAACATTAAAAAGGTTATTTTAAACATAAAGATTGAAATAACAATTTGTATTAAAGAGCTATCAGTCAGTTCTGTGACATGCGTGATACACACTTAGACAATCATGTATCTTTCAATACATGTCTGGCGAGGCAGATTTTTTCCCGCAGTAGGTTGTCATTTCTTTCTGCGGTAGGCCCGTTGCCATTCAAGGCTATAGAACCCTGTCTGTCCTGCTCTTTACTCATAGCTGGAGGGAGAAGAGGATTTATACCTTTCCCAAGGGTATTTACATTATACATACTCTATTCTCTCAGTAATGCTTTCCTTCATTCCTGACCACTGACAATCCCTCTCTTCCACATTTTCAATGCGTTCCTATAGTAAAATCATTAGTTATCAGTCAGTCAGTCATGTGCCATGCGTGATACACGTTTAGGCGATTATGTATCTTTCGATACATGACTGACGAGGTAGATTTTTTCTCGCAGTAGGTTGCCATTTCTTTGCTATCAGTTGCTATCCAAGGCTATAGAACCCGGTCTGGTTGAAGAAGAGGATTCATACCTTTCCCAACGGAAAGCACGTAAGTGAATGTAATGGATTTGACTGGAATTCGAACTCGGCTCTCTGATTTCTCAATCCGAGCCGCTATCTCGCAAAAGAGAGCTATAATATTTAGAAAAATATTTAGAAAACTTAAGAAGCATATTTTCCTGAAAAGTTGTATCACTAAAAAGAGATTATAAATTTCATCTGACTCCTTTTTTTTTTTCTATGTGCAGTGTCCCTTCAGTACATTGTCGATCATAGCTCTCCACAATCTCCTGTCCATTGTAGCTCTTAATAAACTTTGTCTTTTATCTCTGCTAAGCCCTGCTATCCATTTACTCAACCTCACTAGGTAGGTTATGCGTTGTTTTTCTCTGTCCCTCTTGTTCTCAATGTCCTGTGAGTATAAAAATTTCCAAGCCTTCTTTCCTCATTATCTGCCCTAGAAATTTCAACTGTCTATTTCTGATGTTAAGTATAAGTGTCCCTTTTTGCTTCCATTTTCTTTAAAACTTCGCCGTTGCTTACATGTTGTGTACATGGTACACTTAACAGAACATTTCTGTTGCTTCAAGTCTCTTCCCTTATCTCCGAGAAGATTGTCCAGCATTCACTACCATATAGGAAGACGGATATTACGTAACAGATCAGTAGTCTTTTCTTTGTTTCTGACAAAATTTTCCTGTTTCTTAATAATTTGCTTAGTTTTTGGAATTAAACTTTAGCTATCCCAATGCGCGTTCGTGATCTTTTCAGTCAATTGTGTTAATTCACCCCAAAATAAAAAAAAAGATTTTATAATTACTAAAATTTACACAAAATTCTTTCATTACACTCCGGTTGGGTTGACCTTTGCGATCACCCCAAATGTTGGCGATTCGGGTGTGTTGTTTCTAAGTGTGGGGTCAGAGTCAGTGCTCACTCCGATATACAAACCAAAATCCGATTTTTTTCTTCTTTTTAAATTGTAAAAAATTTCTTGTAAGTACCTCGAATAACATCCGCACTTACAAAATGTGAATATCTCCCGGATTTTTGGTAATTTCTCATTCCGAGGGTTGGGGTTGTTGCGAGGCAAGCTTAACAAATTTTGATTAAAAATTAATAATTTCAAAAGAGTGCCAAAAATTTAATAAAAAACAAACTTTGATTTAAAATTTATAATCTCTTGGGGTGAATTAATATTT